TGGTCAAACTCAAATTGAGGAATGCATATATAGCACTGATTATACTGTGGAAAAATATGATTCAGCAAATAATATACCTACTGATATTGTAGAGGTAAAAGTTGATCAACAGAATCAACGTGAACATGATACCCAGCAGCAACAAATTGAGGATTGCATTTATAAATAATGGTTAGTATATATAATCATTATGACATATATTATTTAATTTTTAAGTAAATTTTGTTGGTTATTAAACTAATTTTCCAGATCAATTACCTGAATCTAAATAAAAAATATTCTTTCAGGTCAGATCATTCAAATTGTTAAAATATTTGTACAATTTAATTTTATTAAAGTATTAATATAAGTATTACATTTTTAAAGTTTCTAAAACTATAAAAATAACACAGTTAAATATGCTCTTTTAAACATTAGTTTTATAATTGAATGATTTTGAAACATAAGTTTTATTTATTAGATTTTAAATATACCCTATCTTTAGTTATTACTTATACTCGGATAAATGTTGTATATTACTTTTATGAGCACGCTATATTATGCAATATACTACTACATTAGATTTAAATTTTATTTTAATAATTTATTTTTTAATATCTGTTTAGATTTAAGACAAATCAATGAGTGAAGAATTTAATAAAAATATGAGTATCAGTAGTGTAACAAGATTTAATGGGTTRAAGTGTTTACAGCACACAGAAATCAAGCATCCGTTTACACCAAAAAGTTAGAATCCTCAAAATATGATTTGAAATATGGTGCTATTCATAGTTTTATTAGTTTAAATATTAACTTTTAAGATTTAAAAATAATTTAATGAAACAAGCTAATATAAATAATTATAAACTTTGTTAAAGATGAAAACTGAATTTTTTTAATGATTATGTGTACTCTTCTGAATAACCCCTTACTAGCTTGTATTATATTTTTGTTAGATTATCAAAAATGATTCTTTATGATTGTCATAGAAATGTTTTTATTTTTAGCAACCCTTGTGTTTGTAAATATTATAGGTTAAAAGTATAAAGCCTTTTTTAATTTAAAGAACTAATAATTAAATAATTTAAGTATACAAAAAAATGTATAAATATAGCTTATTTAGTTATTTAAATTGGATTTGTATTCAAATATTCCATAGTACATATATTCTTATGTATATTTGTGTATTGCTCTCCAATAATTGATTACAATCAAAATTTGAATTTATATTGTGATTAATTAAAAAACTGAATTGACAATTTTTATTTGAATACCAACATTTGTTAATTAGTAGTAACTATTTAAAATTAAAATAAACCAACAATTATTAATGTTTATAATTTTGCTCGTACCCATATTTTACATCACAAATCCAATTTAAAAATTAAATATATCATAATTATTTGTAATATTTTATTTATTGATAACAATCGAGATATATTATTTCTATAAGTRTGAAACTAAATTATTATAATATTTTTAATATTATTTACTTAAAGAAAATGATAAGATAATTTCTTCAATATCAAATTATATTTCATTTGAAATTATTGTTTGATTTTTTAAATCAGGTATAAATCTAACATGTTACATTTTCTTTGAAATAATAGTTATAGTATGTAATAATAACTATGATCTAATATCTTATAATTATATGTACTGTATAAAATATATTTTTAATTGTTTATGTTGTTAGTATTTTTTAAAATTATTATAATTATAAATTTATCAAAATATTTACCAGTATAATATAATATATTGTTATTTTGTATACAATAATACAAATGTACATAATATGTAAACATTTACACATTTTCACTATAATTTAATTCTGATGGTTTATATATTATGCTATTAAGTTAAGTTTAGAATTAGAAAGACTTTTTTTGCGTAAATTATTTTTATAAATACATTATAATTAAACTTACCTKTTCAATGGTGATTATTTTGACATAATTTTCATAACCCTCATCAATTATATGAAGTTACACTTATGTTCAATATTCATTCCTTATAGAAATACAGTTATTCTATAGTTATATCTTTCCCTAAGATTAAATATTAATTGGGATATATATAAATATCATCTTACAAACATTTAACATACCTAATTTGTGTTCAGCAGAACTTATTTTATGTTATTAGTTTTTATATTTCTATAAATTTACGATCAAATGAAAAGGAAATAATATTATGTGTTTGGATTTGTTTTTATGTTTAATTTTAAAATGAGTTATCATGTTAATTTGTTAGTACTTAAAAATGTTTATTACTTTCAAATTAAAATATAAAGAAATGGACAATAGAACATAAGACATTATTCTTACATTTACATTTAGTAATAGGTCAATTTACTGGAAGATTACAACTAGAAACATAAAATGGATCCTTCTAAACCCAAATTTGGTATGTCATATGTATGTAAAAGAGATGTGTGTGTTGCATAATCTTACTAAACAAGAAACTACTTTACTACTGAATGAATGTGATGCATCAACAAATATTTGATTTTTAAATGTGTACATGTATGTAAGGTTAATACATTAAAAGAATATTTTAAGACATTATTAGTCATAAAACTATATATATATATATATATATATATATGATCAGTTATGATCAAGTTCTGAATTTATTTTAAGTGACAGTGATATAATTAACTTCCTCATTACAATAGACTTGAAAAACAATTAAGGACTTAAAACTAAAATATTAGTGAGTTAGATAAAAATTTTCAAAATATTTAGATTTGTTTTGAGCTGTTTACTGACATTTTAATTTTTCAACTTTTTTGGTTTTTTTTTCTATAAATATCGATAAAAATTTATTTGTTCGGTAAAAAAGCTTGAAAATTTAATACAAGGCTTCTAACACATTGTAACAATAGCAGTTAAAAAAAATTAATATTTTGTAGGCACGATTTTTTTTTACAAGATTTAAAGTTCAAATTTTGACTAAATACGTAAAAATCACGAAAATTCATAAATTATTTTATGCTAGAAATTCATAAAAAAAGTTTCTTTTACATCTAAGATTTGAAAATTTAATACATAGCTCCTATCATATTTTTACAATAGCAATTGAAAAATAAAAGAAATGCGTAGTCACAATTTTTTTTTACAAGCATTCAAAGTTTGAATTTTGACAACATATGTAAAAATCACAAAAATTCGCAAATTATTTCAAACTAGAAATTCATAAAAAATCTTCTTTTTAAATGAAAGATTTGAAATTTTTTAATAATCTATAATATATCCTAGACAGATAAACCGTCTTCGCTCAGAATCGTTTTTCGTATACAATGATATAATATCATTGGATTCAAATTTAATTCCATCCATTACAGTAACCCACTTGTAACCTACTGTACAGCAGAGCGACATCCACGACTTACCCGCCTTTTTACAGTACTAATGGGTTAATGTGTATATATCATGTATACCAAGTATGAGATCTAATGTTATTATATAGTTATTTTTGTTATATATGAATAATAATTGTAAACAATGCTCATCAGCTTTTTGATTAGAACAAATATTTATGATTACTTTTTACTATTATTATTCATTTTTTTGATCTTGAAATTATAAATTTCTGCTTTGACATGTTAATTAAAAATTGAGAGAAGAATACAATTAAATAAATAAATACAGTATTTAAATACAATTTAGTTGTTATGTATTCAACAAGGTTAGGTTAAGTTGTTATGTTGAGTTCTTATTTTCATTTTCTGGTACTGTCTGTATTCCTCGACGGTATGTTTGATTGTGAGCATAGTGTCATATGGTTGGCACATTAGTGGGTTACCTTAAGCCATAAAATATCCGTAGGAGGCCCATACTGGCCAATTGGACAAATGTATGATCCCCCGCCCACACATGAAAATTACAATTGCTTAATGTAACCTCATCCCTACAAATCACGTCTACATTAAGATTAAAAGAATTTCACTTTTTTCTATAAAAACTGAATAGTTGATAGTTTTAAACCTAGGTAATACATTCTCCAAGAAATACATGAACATAATAATTTACATCTATTATGTGATGTATAACTTATACAATAACATAAGTTAAACAATAGACAGTTAAAATGCCCTTTTAACCATAACATACCTACTTAGTAGGTGACAGGTGTCTAATATTCATATAAAAATTAAATTATCAATAATATATCATATATTAAGTTTCTCCTGGATATAAATGGTTATTATTTTTGTACTTTATATCCACAAAATGACGACGTCACCATTAACAATATTATATAACTTATTATTATTGTTACTTGATATTACTTAATGTAATAATTTTTATTACAAAATATTTTCTGATGTCTGTTGTATCATTAATTGATTTTCTAGTAAAGATTATACGGTTTGATGTTACTGTTCAGATACTGAAGCTAGTTGTTGACTAATTTTCTAAATGATTAGTTCTTACTTGTAGTTGATTCTGGACTGTTTTTATATTTTTACTTCTATAGAAGAAGTTAGTAACATCTGCAAATATGTTGGGATTTATCAGAAATGTACAGTGCTTGTCTAAATTGTTAATTACCATTTAAAATAATGAAATTGATGTGCTGATTTTTGTAGTATGCCACTTTCTTGTGTTAAGTTGTCAGAAACTTGATTTGTTGTTATGACTTTAAATGATTTATTTAAAAAAAAATATTGTTATAAAATTTAGCATGATATTGGGACATATTACTTTATTTAGTTTTGATTGAATATCATGTCTCTATGTGACGTAGGCTTTTAATGTGTCTATACTGAAAGACCTAATATTTGTTTGTTTTATATTGCTTGCTCAGCTTCTTTTATTTTTGTKGAACGGCTTTTTATTAAGTCACTTTGATTTGGAGTTAGGTAATTGATTTTTTCTAAAAACCAATTAAGTCCAAATTTCTTTTTATTATTACATAATTTATATTATAATGAAACAATAAAATAAAAATAAMATAATTTTAATTTATAATAAAACAAAACATTTATGTTACATTAAGAATTTTTATGATATAGATGTAAAAATTTAAGTTATAATTTTGTTAATTATGTCAGACATATCCAAGTCAGCAGTATCACATTCAAAGTCAGATAATGTCAAACTATCGTCAATAACTTTGCCCTTCATTATAAATTTATCCAAAGGACCTTWGACATTTTCTTTTGCTCCATCTATTTTTTTAGTTTTTCCGTGTTTTTTAGAAATGTTCATTGAAGAAAATGTATTTGTTACATCAGATATATTAGCATCATGAATTGTTACTGAAAACAATTAAAAAAAAAAAAAATATTATATCCATACAATAATTTTGACGCGGAATTTATTATATTAAAATATTGTCATTGCTAATTAGTAAGAAACCAAACAATTTTTTTTTTTGTATAAACAACTTAAAAAAAGTTCTTATCAGTTATTGTGACTACCACAGGTTAAAACCGTGTTTATTATTTTGAGATAATTTTTTAACCTATTAAGGTAAATATTCCCTGTAGTTTCTAAGGTCACTGCCTGCTGGGATATTTGGGATATAGGTTGGTGTTAAGATGCAGTGTGAAAACCTCACACTATTCCAATTTTTGATCCTGCACGGAAACTGTAACCTTACCTTAAGACAAAAAAATATTAAAGCATCAACCAAAAGAAACTTATCTTAAAAATATAAAAGCAATGTATGACTACAATAATAATTCCTATTAAACGCATTTCACATAAAAATCGTTTGATTTACCTTGAACAGGAAAATTTGTTGATTTTTCCATAGAGTATTGACCATAATACTTAATTAAAGATACAAGTATATATATATAGGCGATAAATCAAAATTATACTTAAGAAAAAGCTATCTTGGAAATGTAACATAAACTCTTGTAAAAATAAATAAATAGGTCATAAATATGTGCGTATCAAAAAATTGGTTTTTGGCACAATATGCCACTACTTGCTAAGTTTTGTTAGCCAGACTAATTTTATTTTATTATAATATTTTGTTTTGTAGGTTAAAAATATTATTAAAATAATATAATATAATGTTAACCTGTGGTAGTAACAATAAACAACAAAATTGAGTTTACCGTATGATTGTATAGGTAGACATATTAAGTTAATATTAACCAATATGTATCAAATATTAAATATAAATTACTTTTTTTCTTTGTTTTTCTAGATATATTATGCATGTTTTCATAGATTAAAACTTCATTTGGATATCTTCTTTTAACAGCTGTTTGAGGTTCAATGGATGTTATTTCATAATTATTCCATTTTATTTCATAACATTTTATTCCTTTATTGACACGTTTTTTAACAATTTCAGTCATTAAAATATTTGCTTGAAAATTATCATCATACATTAAATGCCATCTAGTAAGTAATGGCAAAAATTTATCTATTGCATACTCTCTTTCCCAACACAGTTTGGTCAATGCAAATTTCTATAATATATTAAATATACATATTTTATTTAATATGAACCCATGCAATTTATACTTCTTTATTTTATTATTATTTATACCTACAATGAAAGAATTAATGTCTGGTAAAATCCATTTTGCAGACACTTCTGGATAATTAGGTACTTTTAAGAATTCTTCAATAACTGATTCAGATGGAAAACTTTTGTTTTCAATAGCTTTATTCCTTATTTTCAACTCTAACTTTATTTCATTAGTCTGTGATTTAATATTCATGGCAGCCGAATTTAAAACTGGATCATTTCTCCACTGTCTCAAACTTGAAATTAAATTTGAAAAATTAGTAATACTTAAGGGAAAATAAGGAATACAATGTATGATTACCGATTAAGGACAGCATCATCATCTAATGATTGAAGGAACTTAATTGCAGTATCTTTTCCAACACCCATAACACCTTTTTCATCATAATCACAACCACATAGCAATGATAAAGCTATCATTTTGTTGCGACCAATGTTTAGATCTTTTTCAATTGATTCCATGCAATAAACATCAACAGATCCGTTTCCAGATGCATTAAAATTTCTATATACAACACTAGCCCCATACAAAAAACAATCGCTATCTTGAGTGATAATTCCATCCACAATCTGAAATTAAATAATTTTTTTTTTTAATCTTCTAACTGAAAACATAGCTTACAAAAAGTACAATAACTACTTATCAAAAAATAAAAAATGAGACAACTGCAGAGCTAAACCAGTCCCGCACATATAAATTCACAATGGGTAAGGATAATGAAGAAATGAGGTATAAAAACTGTTTGTAATGTATAAAGAATTTGAATTTGATTTTAAATGTGTAAATTGTTACTCGCTTCACATAATAATTTACCTACTTTAAAAGTATATTTTCTAATTTTTGTTGTATGGAAGTACAGAGTTTTTATGTACTATAAACATGAAGAAACGGAAGACTAGAATTTTTCTTAAGTTTTTTTAATTAATTAAATTGTGTATAATTTAAATCGACGGGTGAAAATATATCTCTTAGAATTTTTGATATAAAAAAAACCAAATATTATGTTGATATTCTGATGATTTTATTGTTTAAGCACAAAAAATCACATATTAATTATACATAAATCAAATATAAATAAAAATAAATAAACTTATAAGGCATATTTAGTTATTGTGCAAAGCAAAATAATTATGCACGCCTGAGATACACAATTATGTCGAACACAGTGATGTCACATTGTTATTTCAGGTATCTTAATATCTCAATTTTTTTTTTTTTTTTTGATTGGATTTTAACAAAATTGTTTTAGTAGTTCAGACTAGAATAATTAAGCATTTAATAATATTTTGAATAACATTG